ACAAAACAATGCGTTTAGGCTCATCGCCCATAAGTGGTACCTATAAGTCGACTTCCACGTACCTCTCATCAGCGCTTGGACAAAACGGATGGTGCGCTGACGGATTTAAAGTGAACTGTCCCAATCCAGGTAACTGCGTGGTACTAGAGTGATTCTGTTTCTGAACAACTTTTCTTGTGTATGACTTCGGTCTTTGCATGCACATTGCACGTGGCATCCACTGAAATATACGCATTAATTATGACTATATACTTATTGCAGTGAGGAAAATAATAAGCCACAGGCAATCACCTCGAGGAAAACTTGTCGAACCCACTTTGGCATATTATGTGTTGTGGGTCCACGGAAATACACGTTGATAATGATTACGGTAACCAAGATCGTAATCACGTTGAGCACGAATGTTAGTAAAAGATATCTATAAAACCACACTAGAAAAGGTGAAATTGAAAGATCAAATATATTATCCTTTCGGTAAATTGTACGGAGCTTTCTAATTAAGAGCATGCATAGATACACCCTGCTCCTCCGGTGGTCGAGGTATTTTGGGGGTTATTTCGTAGTTTAGGTTAATTAAATGTTTAACTGAAGGGTAGTGACGTTTTGATGGGTCCCAAATAGATCGTAAAAAAGACCATGTTTCCCTACATCCCCTTAGTTCTGCTCAAACAATTCAATGCTTCTGAATTAAAGCGGGTAAGTTTTAGTATGGACTAGGAGTGAATGAGCGAGTTTTTCTTGCTGCATTAAAGTCAGTCAGAAAATTTTGTGCCCGGAATCCAGTAGTTACTTACTATTTAGATCAACATTTTTGGTCATCTATGCGCTTCTGATCAATACTTTTCATAAGTTGATTTGTTATACATTGTGGCTTCCTATTACAGTTGTTACATCAATACGGTGTTTTTACCCTCTTCCCCCTATTGCAGCGTCCATTTTTAAATGCTTGATAAAATTAAATAAACCTTGCCTACTTTGCCATGAGCGGAATAGTGCTGGAAGTTGGTGGTAGAATCTTTGAAACAAGTAGCAAGAACACAACAATAGACAATAATACGGAAATTGTCAATGTCATTTTCTCTCCTGTGAATAAAATCAAATAAATCAGTGCAACAATCAGATAATTACTTTACTTACCTGAATCAGTAGGTAAGAAAAACACGGCCATACTTAAGAAAGCCATGAGCACAGTGGGTATAATAAGCACAACGGTGTAGAACAAGGTTTTTCTTCTGTAAAACGCAGGTTATCCAAAAGTCATTGCAGTCATAAAAGCACCACCTTACCGTATCCTAACTTGGAATTCGATTCTGCTCCTTTTATTAACTAATGATGCTGGCGCATCCATTACATCCCAGATAGAAGAAGCCGAATATTCGGATAGATCGACCCATTCGGCTTGTTCAAACTCGAGTTTGATTTCATTTTCATTATACTGAAGTATCAACGGGTAGCTCGCATCCTACACCCTCTTAAAAACTTTGCACAAAAAAAAA